ACTTGGGTCTTTATGAAGAAGTGTTGAATGAAATGAAGTGATACTACCCATATTATGAAATTCAAGCACATGTCTGATATTTTTACGGCAAATTATATTCCAGGGGGTTCAAAGACTAGTAGAAAGGCTACATTTTTCTGCAATTTATTTTTACATGTCTGTACTCTGGAAGTATATTTTTGACTGGACTTTTTTTTCACACAGTTGAGAAGCATGGCTTTAGCAACCTCTGCCACCACAATTCACTAACCCTAACTTCTTACATAAAAAAAACCAATTATTAGTTTTTCTACAAAATCCTCTTGTCAAACTTTTCTTAATGTAATTGTACTGAGTTTAAAATCACTGAATAAATAAGAAGAAAATTATGGCTGGAGCCAGTGGGGAGACAAGTGTTTTTATAGTGCATAATATTGGTACATGCCAGGTAGCCCAGGCAGTGTGACTGGAACCTTGACCCCCATTTGGCTCTTGCTGCTCTAAACAAATTTGCTATTTGAAGTTCTGCCCACAGCAGGGGCCATCCTGAACAGAAGATCTTGCTTGTGTGCCACTCATTTTCTGTTGCAAAAGACAAAACAATTGCTTCTCCAGTGCTGCTGGTGACAGGCAGTGCATTTCTTCAGTGTAAGCTGAGTATGCTTTCTCTGGTATCTACATCAGAGCCTGTGCTGCCACCCCGATTTTGTCTTTCTGGGGCTGGCTATTTACAGCCTGCAGTCTCTCTGGCACCCAGGGACATTTAAAAACATTATTGCATCTGAGAGCATTTTTATGAACTAATTTCAATACTTTTCTTTATTTCTAGTGCTTTGTGGCAAATGTCTGCCCTGACTTCCCACACAGGCATTCTGCACTCACTAGGCTGGCTTGGAGTGCATGGTCCTGATCCTGAAAGTACATGTGGGTTGTTTTCCAAAGGGCTTGGCAGTCCTGCTTGCAGTGTTTGCAGCTATTAAGCTGTGAAAGTTGTCCTTTAACATCAGACTGCATTTAATCCCTTTTAGTCTGTGGATTAGAGAGAATGGATGAGAGAAAAGAGTTTTTTTCTTTTATTTCCACTTTCAATTATGGCTTTTAAATACTCTGAATATTGTCTAAAGCTTTCAGCCCTGATGTTTTCTCTGTAGGAGTTGCAATGAGTAGAGAAAATGGAGACAGGCAGGCTACAGCCCCCATGGTAGGTCCTGGGTTTGTTTATATTTGGCAAATGTTTGGCACACTGTGAAGATAAATCAGTAACATAATCTCAGTATTTCCAGCTCTGTGAATTCTAAATCCTTATGTGTAAAATAAGTGAGGAAAATAAACAGTGTGTGATCTTTCAGTAGCTTTTCCACATATCTTATTATCATTTCCTCATTGTAATCAGCAGTGCTTAAGAATAGTATCTGCAGTCTCTTAAATGCCACAATAAAGGAGACCCAGAATATCACAGCTCTGCAGAGCTTGTACATACAACTACAGCAAGTATTTTACAGATTTCATCCTTAGCCAGGAAGGCCAGAATATACTGTTTCTCTTCTAGTCTCTTTCAAATGATAGTGAAGGCTCTCTCCGGATTGTTTGACTGAATGAGCTGGAGATTAAAAAAAATAGCACTAGATTTTCAGTTCAAGTTGTAGCAGCAAAAATGGGAACTTCTCTCATGCTAAGTTAAGGTCTGTTTCCTTCCCAGGCTGGTCTAAGTGGAACTATCTAACTTAACTAACTCTTCCTATTTACTAACCCCCTGACAACTTCCCACTTCTTTAACAAAAAATCCAGACTGAAATTGCAGCACTGGAGAGTTTCCAGATGTGCGCCCTGTTCTCACAGTGCAATTGCATGTGGTGTTTAACAGATTCATCACTTTACTCCATCTCACGGGTAAGTTAGACACACTTCGCAATATAAAATTGCTAACCTGGTCAGCAGAAGGAAGCTTTTATTCTGTTTCCCTACTGATCCGTTCACGAGCCCCTATTTCTCCAGCAATAAATTTGCTTCTATAGCTTAGCACAGCATGCTAAGAAGAAATCTTTTACAGCATAACAAAAAATGAGCAGCACAACACAACAATTAAAAAAATGTCAGGGTTAGGTAATCTCATTTGCTTTAAATTAAACAGTATGTGTACCACACTCCAGTGAAATACAGTGATCAAGACATTCTGGTACTTGATCTGGTACTGGTGTAATACAATGATCAAGACCTGGTATAAAACAGTTTCCTTCCTTTTAAACCATAGGATGCTTACAAGCCACAGTGCCATGCTGTCTAGAGGTAACCACACTGGCTAAAAAGCAGTACAATCATTTTAGCATGGGGTTATGCTCAAGCAAACAGCAGGTCTAATTAGCTTATCCAACTCCCCCTGCCCACAAAAGCTACCATATTGCTTCCAGTGCTGGAGCAGACTCATCTGTAGTCAGAGGGAATCTGTAGCCAGTAATGCATTATACACAACAGAACACTCAAAAAGGAAGCTGAACTGATTTGTCATGTCTGAGAAAGTGACCCATTTTTGAGTCACTTTTTTTTTTTTCTCCTTTTTTCCCTCTTCCTGATCCTCTCCCTTTGTTCTCTCATCTACAAGTAACAAAAAGTACTACTGCTAGATCCTTTTTTTCTTAAATCATAACAAACCCATCGCTCCTAGCAAGTGCCTGAGTGCTGTGAATGGCTGGTTTTGGTTGCAGTATAGCTTATTTTTTTTCTGGTTTGACTTTGCCATTGCAAGCAGAACCTCCCCAAAACTGTAACAATAAGAAGATGTTTTGTGCTGCTGTGTACCCAGAGTAAGCCCCACTTTTCTTGCAGTCTTGTGGCAGACACTAAAGACACATCTCTGCGTCTCCATGAGGCAGGCTAGTGCCAATTATCCTAAATTACAGATGTAAAACATATGAAAAAGCTTGGACCCCCCCGGAGGATTTAGGTACCTATACTTCCCATGTAAATCAAGGGATAACATTGTCTCTGTGTACCTTTGTAGATCTGTGAGAACTTTCTGTGAGGTCATGCTGAACTGTTCAGAACAGCAACAATTGGAAATGATGTTTCCAAGGACCTGGGCCAGCATCTTTATTAGTGCTCAGTGAGTCCAGAAAGCTTGCTTACTTACACTGGGAGGAAATGTTGTGTATAAAAGACAGGAGCCAATCCCTTTCTTTCTGAGGCAACCGAGCTGGTTTGCAGGCCAGTGTCTGTGCAGTAACACAACTCCTCCCTACCCCTAATTTGGAGTGACCCAACCTCTCTCTCTGCTGCCTGATTATTCACTGTATTCTTTTTTGGCAGGTTGATGCTGGGAAGTTTCCTCCTTCAAGTCTGATATAGCAAACTCTTTCTATGCAAGTATCTTCTTCCTTGTCTCATCTGAGAAGATGGTTTTGTCAACTAGACACTTCTGACTATGAAGCAGGTAGTTTTCATATCATGTGTAAATGCAGATGATGTTTTGCACGGCTGCGCCATATTCTGTGGTTTCGTAAACTCCTTTAGGGACCAGCCTGTGTTTCCCTCATGAGCAGTTACAAAGGATGCATATGTGACTGCGCACAATGCAATGGACATCTGAGCAAACCTTTTGCAGCAGAGAAGCATTGCAAATGGGGGTCTTGGGACAGCAAAAATTATTTCTTGTCAAGTTTTTGTTATTCAGTCCTACAGTTATTAGCCTTAGAGGTTTCATTTAACTGAAAAGCTTCTCATATGGTTAAATGGGGTGGAATGAAAATAAGAGTATGTACTAGGCTATGATATGCATCAATAAATGGAATATGTACCTGAAGCGTCCAAGTGTCCAAATTAGTTGTACATACTAATGCCCTTATTTTTTTCTGGTCTTCACACAGATACTTCTGCTAATTCAGGATCACGATACTTCCTTTTGCTATGTTAACATGCCTTCTGAATTAGGAAGGTCTTTGCAAACCCAAAGAAATTTAAACAGTTATAATCACTGCTGTCAGCTGAGTCAGTTCTAGTCCTTTGGTCCTTTGGTTTCAGAAACACACAATTCTCCAATCATTCACAGAGTCTTCTAGGACAGGTAAAATTGACTTTCTGTCACTCAAACACGAGGAGTAAAAAAACCCAACTTGAAGCCCCACCTACTGCAAAGCTTCAGGACTGCACTATGAAGCAGCAAAGTTTTATATGCACTTGGCCATTTTCCCTTCTGTGATGCTAAAAAGTACCATATTGCAAGGGCTGAGATAAATGTGTGTGTATGCATATACATTTATCTGTATGGCTACTGGGTGAAATGAGCAGAGAGAGGGTACTTACGCAGCAATGCTTGATTTGTGGTGAGTTTCTTAAATGGCCGAGTTTAAGATGGATTTTTAAATTTCTGAGAAGGAGGTTTATGATGCCTGCCTGCATTACCCATCCTAGCATTGTTCTAAGCTCGGGTAAATGGAACACCTTGGGAAAAAACTATACAAGGGTTTTTCCTTTTCCCTTACAAGTCAGACTATGGCAGGCTTCTTCCAGTCTTGAAACACAGAGTGCACTGCCTGTGATAAACCCTGGAGGAAAGCAGCCCACTGTTCCTTCCAGAAGCTTTAAATTCTTTAGCAGTTATTTCTGGGGAATTTCATATGCCGTATGGAATACTTTCCTCAATTAGGAAATAAGTTGACCCAGGACATACAGCCTTGCTGACCAAAGCCAATCCTTTATCTCCCACAAATATGAGAAGATGCCATGTGCTTCTGGAGCAACCAGGTCTGCAGTATGCTTGGCAAAGTATCACAGGAGAAGGAAAGGGAAGAGTGATGAGACAGTAACAGGTACAAAGAGTTAATATGTGTTGAAGCATCTAACAAAAATAACTCAGAGCAGCAGGGCACAGCAGTGGAGGAAAGGAAAAAACCAAAACTAACGCTGCTGTGAAGTTAGTACTTTTATTCTCTTATCGATAGAGGCAGCTCAGTGCTGTACGTCCTTGAGATCACAGAGCATCTTGAAGAGTGGTAGTTAGAGAGAAACACAGTAAAAAGACACAGAAGTAGGCGCAGTGAAAAGGCAGATTTATTTACTAGTAATACTGTACAGAGAAAAACAAAAAAAGAGAGAAGCCATAGTTACAGCATGGCTGTTGCTGGCAGTGTTCTTGTTTTTTTTATTTTTGTGGTTTTTTGTACTCGTTTTTTTAATCTGAAGAAAAAACATAACAGTCAAAAAAGTACACTTCAGGTTACAAAGTACAGCAGCTATCCCCAGCAATTCTAATCCAGTGTTAGCACAGCAGTTTTACCCCAACAAAATGGGATCTTATTTACATTAGCTCACAAAGAAAGTGGGAGACTAAAGCTTAAAAAAAAATCTCAACCACAACCTACATTCACCATAAAAGCTGCATTTTACACAACATTTTCTTGAACCCCTAAAAAAAAGTCATTCTTTGTCTATGAAGTCAAAGTAGTTGGGAGGGACAGGAAACCTTTAGAAATGAAGTTCTTTGCCTTTGCCCTGACCTGCTCTTTCTTGGCTACTTTTGCTCCACTCAGATTCAGTGGCCACTGGAAAAGCAAAAACCTCTCAAATGCATTCATCTCCTGTATCTACCCGTAAGCAGTGCCTGCATCCATACTTGCAAAATAACAGCAACAAAACTTGAGCCTGTCATCGGTAAAATACCTTAATCACAGACACTGGGATATTAACATATCCTCAAGGCCATCTCTAACCAGCACAGTGCTTCACACTTCAAGCAAGGTTTTAAGATGAGTGGAGCTTAAGTGTTGCATTCAATTGGGAATTTATACAGCTGGACAAAACTATCTTTATTTTTGAGTTTACCTCTCTCTGACCAGCACATTGTCTTGGAGGAGTACCAGTAGCATTTTGGCAGCTGATTTTACTGAGAATGCCTTTGCATGCTGGATCAGTCTGTGGGGAAGTTCACATTTTTCTACTGAAACCTTTACCCTGCCAACAGCAACCTGACAATCAGTGGGGGTGGCTTGTCTTCTGCTTCTGTAAGTGGCTTCTGAATGACGATATTTTATGCACTGGGGCATACCTGGCTCATATGGGCCTGGGTGACTTAGTGTATTCCCACAGAAATGGAAAGAGAAACAGCAGATATACCGAAATAGTGAGATTTTAGTAGAATCCGCTGTTTGGGCAACCCATGGGATTGATAGGGAGTAGATATGGAGAGTACTCCGGTAGTATGAAACCTGCCCTAGGAATCTAGGTAAGTGTAGGAAAATGTCCAAACGCCAAGGACAGGATACTGTAATTTCTTTTTAGTTGGGACTCACATCAACAGGCCTGAGGTGAGGTTTAACTGTAATCTCTTATCTCTCACTATCTTTGGTCATAAAAGACCACAAAAAGGGAAGCGAAGAAAGGAGGAAAAAAAGGAGCAGCTGAGCAATTGTGTCCAGAACGACAGCAAGTACACAGTCAGGGGAGAGGGAGAGTCTGGAACAGAGGTGTGCAGAGGAAAAACTTTGGAATTAAAATTTAACACTGCCTTTTTTATATTGTATTTGTGTACGGGTTTGAAATTCACCCTCACCCTCTTCAGGCAATGGGTTTTTTGAGTTCCTGGAGGGTGTTTGTCTACTTTCAAACACAGTCAGCAAGGAGACCATGCTCTAAATCTGCCTCTGCAGAAAAGTGCACTAGTTTCACAATATAATTAAAAAAGCTATCTAATTAAAGGAATGAGGAGACACAGATAAAGCAGCATAAGCCTTGCTTGTAGCATATTGTTTAAAGACCAGACCCTATAGGCTTTTGTGCATGTGCTTAGATTTCATTTGTCTGGGCCATCCCATTAACTTAAGAAGTACTGTTTGGGTGCCTTATTTTATGCTCACAGGCAAGTCTTTAGGTCTTACAGACCTACTCAAAAGATACGCAAGGTCTAAATTCCAGTATGAATCACTAACATACTAATGCAAGTTAAAACTGTACAAACATACCCAAATCAGTGGACTTGAGTTACTTACCTAGTACTAAAAAATTAATTAAAATTCTTTGTTCTTCTCTTGCTTAAATTTCTGGAATAGATTAATTTTTAAAACAAACCCGTAAATCCTCATTTGAGAAGAATTTGAGAAAAAATTGCAGGGAAGCTTTGCAATAGAGAACCAGCAAAGCCCCTCAAAATAAAAGAAGCTTTGGCGAACTGAAGGAAGGGGCTCAGAATTCTTCACAAGGTTGCCCTTAAGGCAAATGGCCTATTCTTAATCCACTGAACAGCCTGAATGAAACCACCCCAGGAAAAAAGCTTTGATTTTATGAGACTCTTCGAACCCAGGAGGAAAAGAGCTCAATTTTGTAATGGTTTCATTTTAAATACAAGTGGGACATTTTTAAGAACTTCATGCACCCTTGTCACTATTTACAAGCTAAGTTATTATTATAAGTCTATATTACAAGTTGGATTTATATTCTCTTTGGACTGGATGACAATCTATTTATATTCTAAACTAAGTAAATTCATCTTTTTCATACATCTTACTCTTTTACATACAAAAATGACAGTCCACATTTTTGTTGGATATTGTCATAGCCTGCAACCCCTGATTAAGCTCAGAACTCAAGTTTACTCTTGCTGCCCAGAAGGCTCATGAAACATAATCTGAAGCAAATCCTAAGCTTTCTAATAGACAGAGAGAACTGGTTGACTCCGAGTGAATTCAGAAAAAATAAAGAATCCATGTCTCAGCCTGTGGGAGAATATTCTACGTTGTCTAAATGATTTAATTCTATTCTTTCCAGTGGCCCATATCTTGCATTTTGAAATCTAATGTTGGATAAAGTATGACAAAATGAAAAAACTTATAGTTCTCCTATTTAGCTTTACCTCTCGACTATTTCCTACCATGTTGGTCTTCTAGATAAAGAAATTTGTTCAGCTATAGAAAGCATAGGTCCAACTCTTTCTGTGAAATACATTTACTTATTTAGTGGTGTTCATAGCAGGTATATTGGATTCTAGTTTTCTAACTTTACTCTTTAAAAAGTGTTGTGATCCTGCTTCCTGAAGAAAATTGTGGTTAGGTCTACAAAAGATCCCAAGAAGCTGGGCATTGTCATAAATGTATGAAAAAGTTCAAAGGTTCAATGTCATGGCAAGGATGATATTCAGAAACTCAATCCCTGTTTAGGGTTTATATCTCATTACAAAAATATTTATTCCTTAAAAAAATACACAAATGTAAAATACTACATTTTCTATTATATCCCCACATACTTTCCAAGTATGTAATTTGGATGTTGAGCTACATCAAAGGATATAACACTTTTTATTTCTCTAGCAACTCTGTATGCTATCTTTCTGCTCTGACTAATTTGTTATACTTCTATAATTTTAAGCATGAAGAATCAGTAGTGAATTTAGGTTCAGTGGCAGGGCACTAATATACTAACTGTTTGGGAAGTCCCACTTAATGTTTGCTCATGCTGTGGCAGCAATGCTGACTCGGGGCCTGATTCTACCAGGTGCTAAACACCATTTTGTTTTGTTTCAGCAGAAGGAACAATACTCAAGAGTTAACCTCTAGGATTACACCACTCTGGGCAAACTCAGCAGTGCATAAAATAGGTACAGATACACAAATAACAGCCAAAGTACACATTGTGTTAATCATTCATGCCCTGATCTTGCAGACATCTACACACATTCTTACTGTGGGTAGTCCTGTTGACTGAAATAGGTCTACACACAGCAGAATTGGGTGTATGTGTTTTTGTTTGCTGAAGTCTTCTATTGCACCGGTAAAGGTATGCTTCATGGAGAAGGGCTTGCACACACTCCTTTTGCTGGGGATTGTAAGATAATGTTGTGTTTATACAGCTTTGGAATACAGCCTGCACTTTTTGGAAAAAAAAAATTAGGAAAGATAGAAAAAGAAGAAGGAAACTGAAGAGTGCTAAGGCAAACTGTTAAATGGCACATTATACCTACTTTGTCATTCATTTAGATAACATCACAAAGGCAGAACAGAGGAGTTCTGTAAACACATACCATACAGTACATCAGCCACAGGAAATTAAAATAAGAAAACAACCCTGTAATTCTTTTCTTTCTGTATTGATATTCTTGTAATTGAAAGAGATTGCCTAGCCACTAATCATAATGCTGTGGTTTTTGATTTGTATTTTTCTTCTGTTAGGAAAAAAAAAACAAAACGAAGGAATGGATGTAAACTGCAGTGGTTTGCAAAAGAAATAGTTCCTGAATGCAAATGAAGGACAACATGGAAAGTGGGCTCATAGAAACTTAGAAAATATTAGATATAAAAAAGTTTCATAGATTACTTTTTCGCAGTCTAGGAAAAGATACAGTGAAAAGAGGGTTTTTTTCTTTTTCTTAAAAAAGTTAAGGCGAGCAGTTTTTTTGTGGCAAAATGCTATCACTGAACCAGTTTCTGACTCTACTTTTTTTTTGTATTCCCTAATGATGAAATTGAGAATGTACATGTGATGGTGTAAGTAAAGCAGACAGGGGATTTGCCTAAAATGATACAAAAAAATCCTCCCTTAATGTTCCTTTCAAAAATCTCTCTCTGCTTGACCGTAGAGCAGACCTCTTCCTTTGTGCCTGATTGTGCATGAATTTCCACCGGCAGCTTCCTATCTGAGGGCAAAGGGAAAACCAATCCCTTTGAAGCCCAAAGCAGCCCTGGAAAACCAGTTTACATTCATCAGCCTAGGCTAACACATCTGAATTCCCCATAATTTGGCTGCAGGCTAATGGCTAGAAGGGACAAACCAATGTCAAATCACGGCTGCTGTTCTTGTGGAGGAGGATGATTGAAGTAAACATGTTTCAGCTGGTGTAGCTAAAGCCCTCAAAGTTCAGACTGATTTGTTTCTGGTTTGTGTTTTTTTCTGACCTCAGACATGGAACTGCCTTTGACTGTACAGACAAACTCTGTGGAGACAAACCATTAGCTTTTCTGGATCTATCGGGCCCATTAACCATGGAGTTCATATGAATATACAAAAAAAAAACCCTGGCCTTCCTAGGCACTCAAAGTTAGCTACAAGTACTGAGAAGTAGGTATTTGACAGTATTAAGGTTTAAGGCTTGTGCTCTACTTCTAACCACTAAAGGGCCACTTCTGGACTCTTGCATGCCACCATCTCCCTGCCACACTGTCTCAGATGGTGCAGTGGTCTCAGAGAGATTCTGGTCCCAGCCTCAGCAAGCATCTCCCAAAGCTGGCCACTGAGGGAGTCATCCCCAAAATGCTGAGTCAGTGCTGCACCAGAAAGTCATCTGACAAGGGAGCACATGGCTGAAGAAATGCATGGACAGAGAGGGTTAGGGTAGAGATGACACCCCGAATTTTCCAAGCAGAAGGCTTTGGGGAAAAAATACGCATATGGGAAAGAAGCAGCAGGGCAAAAAGTATTGGGCTGGGTAGACACTGGGAGGCCAGGGTGGCATCACACCTGGAGAGGAAAGGGTGATAATTGTGGTAATCAATGAGATGACCAGCCAGGCCAGGAGGAGATGGCTGAAGTATTTGTTTTTGAGCATTACTGATGAGATGAACAGGTCCCAGAGTGAGAGAACTATTGCAGAGCATGCCTGGCTCCTACAGCACTCATGGGGTTGGGGCAAGATGGAAAGAACTTCACTATTTATGTTGCAGTGCTTTAAGGCCCTTAATGTGCCTGGGGACAGCCTTGCCAGTCCTGTTGAAAATTTAGGGTCTCGTTTTAAGAAATGCCAAGATTCCTGGGGAAAAAATTAAAAAAAAACCCCACATAATCCAACTGAATAAACCCAAAACACAGGTTGCTAGTTTCCAACAAACAGCCACCAGACCTATTGTCACAATGAGGGGCCCTGTGGCCGCTCCCCTCTTTGCTAAAACCGAATCATCTAAGCCTGAGTCAAGGGATGATATGCAGAGCTTCTTTGGGTGAATTTGGTCCTTCTCCCATCCCAAAGCCCCTGGAGGAGGTGGGGGGAGTGTGCAGAAGTCTGTTAAATCTAGCCACTGCAGCGATATGGAGGCCAGCAAAATTTCTGCAGGTGTCATATAGATGTGGTTGTCTTTTCCTACTATCTGCTTGCTTTTCTTTTTCATGACTGTCACCTGGGCAGTGGTAAGAAGTTACACTGACCAGCTCCACACTGACAGCTGAGTAATCTAACGCAGGAACTGCCTTCGCATGATTTTGTGTGTATGTTTTTAGTGTGCCTCATGTTACCACCGCCATAAACAAGTGTCTTTTTTCCTGGCACAGAAAGAAAAGAGTACAGAGCAAGAACTTGATTTAATCAGATGCTCTGAACTAACAATTAATGCAGTAAAAGCACCATCCAAGAATGAACAGAGATATCATAGGAAACCACCTCAGACTGAAAAGAGGTTTTTTTGTCATTTTCCTTTTTTCTTTTTTTTATACTTTTTTGTTTTCTGTTTCAGTTGCTGTTATTGATTTTTGAAGTCTGATAGTTTTGAAGACACTTCAAAATGATATTTGGTACTTCTTAACACTATCAGAGAACACAAATCCTGATTTTTAATCTCACTTCTGTAGTTATAAATCCAGACTAACTCCACCACAGTGAATGAGGCCGAACTTAAGCAAAACCAGTGTGAGACAAGAATCAGGATCATAATATCTGTGTTAAAAAGCTGTCTGCTTTTTCACTGTATTTAGAAGAATCAAAGGACTGAGAAACAAAGAAACATCTACTGATTTCGGATGCCTTTGCCTTTTTACATTTTGAGCTGTTTTTTAACAGGCCTTATTTTCAGAGGACAGGTAAAGAAAGATTTTTTGGAAATCAGGCCTCTTTGAAGCGTCACACACAGGAAAATGAAGCATCCAAAAGCACCAGTGGTGTTTGAAACTGTTAGCCTTGCAGCTGTAGGATCTCCAGAAACAGCTGTTCCAACAAAACTCCAGTGCGCCTCCACAGGAGTTTTACCTGGGAAAGCAGGGTAGGATCACACCCATCACCTTTCATTGTGTAGATGCACTGGGGGGATGCTCTATGAGAAGTTACACTTGCCTAAGAATGATAAAATAAAACTTTGGCCCTGCCCCCATTCCAGTGCTGAGAATTTCAGAACTGAATCTAGTGGGAACAGGGTCAGACTGTGAGAGAGGTTCATTTATATTCTAAGGAAATAGAAAGCAGTATCTCTCATCTACTGGAGTTCAGCAGGAAAACTCCATGTATAAACATTGGCAGAGTTACTGAAAGGCAAGTAATTAGATCAGTGACTCCATTTCAGTTAGTGTGACAGCTGCATTTTTTCCATGTCAAGTTAATTCCAACTGTAATTTGGGGAGATAAAGTACACATACAATACTGTAATCTGGAAGATCTATGTAAGGCAAAATCATCATTCATATGTTTTCTTGAAAGAATAATTAAGGTCCACTTTTGGTATCACCAATAAGCAGAAATGGCTGATGGGTTTTTCTGATATGGCAAAATAAATTGGAAAGTTACTATAAAAAAACCCTATGCAAACCTTTTGGGAAAGACCGGTCTGAGTTTTAGCAAAGTAAAACAGGAAAATGATCTAAGCCTTTCCCCAAGAAATAAAAAATAGGATCTATAAAATAAAGTTTAAATGTGATTTTTCTTAAAAAAGAGAAGCAATATTTTTTTAAGGCTCCTATATCTGGCTGCTGTGAAGCTCAGAGTCCCACAGAATCCTAGGAATCTGATCAAGCATGCCAGATATCCAACAAAAATGTAAAAAGTGTTTCCATTATATATATAATATATATGTATAAAAATCAAATAAATATGAAAACATTTGCTCCATTTCCCATTAATCTCTCACTCTGCAATATTAAGGGGGGGAAAAAAAAACCCAACAAAAAAAGAAGCAACTTTTCCCAACCCTCCCAAACCCCAAACAGTAAGTCTGGTGGAAAAATAACCGTGTGCTCCTCTTCCTGAAGAACTAGAAAGCAAAGCAACCCAACTGCAAGGCAATGGAGGCATTCACTTCCAGTTCACAGTATTGCAGTTAGAAGTACAGTGAGGTCTAGGTAAGTGACGGAGCAGGAACTCCCCGGAGCGGGGAAGGAGTTCACATGATAATACAGCATTGACAGCGCTTTTTCTTTTGTGTACCTGGGGCAGCTTCCAAAGGCAGGCTCTCTTCCTTACCCTCAGGAGAGGAGGGCTCTGTCGTGTCTGACAGGGGCCTGCCAGAGACCAGCTCAGCAGCGTTCCCATCCATGGTGGAGATGTCTGTCACTGTCTTCTCCCGCAATGACTTCTCATCATCTTCATCAATCAAGACCAGCTCTGCCTTGATGGTCTCATCATAGCCCAACACTTTCTTTGTCTCCTCTTCATCATCAATGTTCTGGTAGCCCATAAATATCATTGTCACTGGCTGGTCTGTGCTGGCCTCTGGGGCTTCACCACCACAGGGTTTCTCTTGGGTCTGAGGGTTCACAGAGTGCCCTTTGCTGGGTTTGTGTATCATTTCCAGCTTTGCCTCCTTGAAGAGCATTTGCTCCTTCATATGGCTAAGGTTTCCATCGGCTACCGCATTTCTGTCTGATACAGTCATTGTTTCATACCCTCCTTTTACACTTGATTGTCCAGCTTTTTGCATAAGTTCATCTACGTCCTTTGAGCTTAATTTATGTACTCCATTTTCTACCACTGTGCCACCAGAGTGAACCTCATAGACTACCTTGGTACCATCATCATAGACTTTGAATCCTCTTTGATGGGCCTCATCTGGGCCAATAGGTGAAGCAGAGACAATCTTGGTCTCTCCTGTCTGTTTGTCTTTCTCCACATTAATTTCCATGGTGCACAAAGCTTAAATGAAAACAAGAGAGGAAGTGCATGTTACAACAAAAAAAGCCAGTGAATGGTTAATTGCCAAACAGACAAAGAAAACTACGGTGCCCCTTTTCCTACCTCCTGCTTCTAAAGGCCAAGCGTTCTACATTAGATGTGGGATGCAACACTGTGGACAGAAATAGTTATCACACTATAGCTTTTTATGCAGCTGGAGGCTAGCATACCTGCGGCAAACAGGACCTAGTCTTCCAGCTCAATCTGCGTGGAGCTGCTTCTGATCAATTAGGAGCACCAAGAGCACTTGGGTTAGGTGTAATTTAGACAAAGGAAGGTGACAGCATGCAGGTTGCCCTCAACCTCTCTGGACTTGCCTCAAAATTCAGATAGAAGCTCATCTCCGGGAGCCTCACTACCCTTTTTTCATTCTCTGCCATCAAACTGACAGTTAGCTGGTAACAAGTTTTGTTTACTGCAAGTTAACACCCAGAATGTTTTATTATCAATGATTGTTCTTGCTTAACTCTTCCATCCGAAGGATTCAAAGCATTTTATAGAGGAGAAGAAACATTGTTTACCCTGTTCTACAGGTGGGAAAACAAAATCACACACAATGGGATAAATTTTCCCTCAGATGCGTGGCAGTGCAACTCTCTCAGCTTCCACCAAAGCATTGACAGTGACAGTGACTTCTGCTTGCAAGTTAAGAGAATGTACAAAATGGCCAAGAAGTGATCTGTTGTTTAGTTGGTGTACTAAGCACCACTGCCAAAGTTGAAGAATAAAGTAATAATAAACTGATTTTCAAAGCGTCGTGAAACAGCAGGTGAAAAGTGTGTGAGGAATGCAGCTTCAGAACAGCAAAGAATCTTTTATTGTATCAGTTAAGAAGGACGCAGTAACAAGATGAAAATTGTAGAGACCACACAGTAGCAATAGGTGGGCAGTCTACACTGCTCTAACTCCCATTTTGAGAGGTGGTGGCATCTTACTAGACAGGTTTTCAAGGAAAAATGTGCAAAGGTTTCACAGATTTTCCAGAAGGGTCGTGTTTTAATCATTCCTTGTATGCAGATGAAGACATTTTGGCATCTGAACAGACATCCACAGACACATAATTACAAATTACCACAGGCAGTGACAAGTGTTTGTGAAACTTGTGGTGACCGTTTCCACCAACGAACCTTGTAATTGTGATTTATCTCACCTGGGGACACTGCAAACTGATATCTTGGGTTTTTTCCCTGATTCATTTTCAACTGCGTACAGAATATCCTTGCCTCAAAAACCAATGTAGCTCGGTATGCTTGTCTTTAAAAAAAATGAATTAAAAAATTACTCTTGCTTTAATAGATTCCCTCAGTCTTATTATTCACACAGACTAGTATTTTCTCTTCTGGATTCTTAAAGCAAAGTATTTAATCATCAAATGGAAGTTTATTATGACTGCGCACCACGATTCCTCCCATAGCTCTAGACTTTGTGCACTGCTTGCTGGGTGCATGATGGCCTCTGCAAGGTGGCCTCCTCTGGCCCCCGGGTGTGCTGTCTAGTAGGCAGCCAAGCCAAATGGGAAGTCTGTCTATGTGCTGTGCGCATCTGCTGAGACCTTGGTCAGCCCTGGCAGGACTGGTTTGGCCAACTGCAGCACCATACAAACTCGTGCATGGAGCCAGAGGACAGGTGCCACGCACAGGGTGAAGGAGCATTGCTGCTTCTGACAGTGATGCATTGCTGAAGGTTGGAGTGGGCTGTAGAAGCAGGGATCTCACTATGGCTATTGCAAGATAGGGAAATATCCCTAAGGACCACATTTTAGCACTGCTTTGCAAGGTTTATGAGCTAGCTGTGTTCATAGCTGTCATGACCCTGAGCACAGGTTGCCCATTTTCACAATGAAGCAGGGATAGCTGCCAGAGGGGAGATTTCGATTGGACATTGGGAAGAAATTTTTACCATGAGGGTGGTGAAGCACTGGCACAGGTTGCCCAGAGAAGCTGTGGCTGCCCCATCTCTGGAAATATTCAAGACCAGGTTGGACAGGCCCTTAAGCAACCTGGTCTAGCAGGAGGTGTCCCTGTCCATAGCAAGAAGATTGGGACTAGGTCCCTTCAAGGTCCCTTCCAACACAAACCATTCTATGATTCTGTGATTTCAGTTTTCTGGTCTCCCTCCCCATCTGTAGTTTTCATGCTTGGTAGCCCCAGAGCAGCCCAAGCAGCTAGGAGGAGGAGGAGGCTGCAGGGGTGAAAGCTGGGCTCTTCTCCAAGGTGTGTGGCAGCCATCATGGACTGGAACAGGAAAAATTTAGGTTGGAAATAAGCAAAAACTCTGTCGCTCCAGAGCTGGAAGCAATTAAACCCTAAAGCAGGTTGCTCTGAGGAGCTGTGGCAGACTGTACCATGGTGCAGCTAAGAGAGCAGCTGGCATGGATCATTTGCTTGCGACTGCTCCTGCCCAGGAGCTAATTGGTAAGTGCCCTGCAAGTCTTATGCGAGTACCTCTGCCCTGAAGCCTTTTATTCAACTTACAGAGGTAATAAAACAAAAATATGTAGGTGCCTCCACCCTGGAATTTGCACCTTTATAGGGGCAATTTCTCTGTTAGGGGTGAGAGGGATGAGGAATGGAAGAGAATTATGTTTATTGGCTTGTTACCCCAAGCCATGGGGAAGTGGACCCTGAACATTGCTGTTCAGGCAGATATTGTTCAATAACTTTCAACACTGCAGAGGTAAGTATAGAGGTTGGCTAGGCTATGGTGAAGAGGTTAAAGCTGACACTTTGGCATGTTTTCTTGTGTCAGCCAGCTGAACTGAAGAGATGAAGGATGAGGTAGCAACAGCATGTTCAGAAAATCATCTCTAACAGGCAAAAACATTCCTCATTTGTCCTGAACACCACAGCCCTGCAGAGGAGTCACTGCCAGCTCACTGACCCACCCACCTTCTTCTTGGTGAGAAGCAGCATCCTGAGCTCCCCTGTGGAGATCATGTGCTTCTCCTCTTTTTTGAAAAATAACAGTATTATCTGGGGCATGACTTTTCAGTAAAGACTGCTTAATTTCCTGTGAAATAGTTGAGTGCCTTGTTATTGCACTTCTTTTTAGTGCAAAAAAAGGTGTAATCTGCCAGGCCTCCCCTATTTTGACGACACAAATATCTTCTGGCAGTGTGCATTAAAAGAAAGCTTGTATAGTGGGCCTGAGTTCAGAAACAGGGAAAATCTGATAGTTAAATAACATGGACCTGGCCATATCCATTTCAGAAGAATTTCAAGGTACATCTTTTTATCTATGGCATAGAGTACTGGTAAGAAACATCTTACCTACTAGGGAGACTGGCCAACAAGTTCTAGCACTGATTAGACATCCTACTGGCTGAGCTGATCTAGAAAGTTAACAGGTATGGTCCTTGGGCAGCTTATGTTTGGCTCATTTGGTTAAGTTTTTCCACTAGCAGCATCTTCTTTACATTTCTACCATGATTTCAGCAGCAGTATTTTAGATATTGGCATAACATGTGGGTTATGACCTGGCATAGGCATCACATTAAAGCTACTTGTGCAAGTAAATGCATAACATGCTTGAGTTTTTTAGAAAGCTATTCAATAGGGAAATACATTGCCATAGGAGAAGTGGGTAACTGAACTTGGCTAACCTGCCTGTATGCATAATGTTCAATCCCTGTAGGAAAACCTAGCAGCCCAGCTTGTCAAAGTAGCTGAAAAATGAACTGATGTTGATTTCTAAAATGTCTTTATTTAACCAAGCTTATTTATGGCAAAATGTGCTCTATTAATACAACACAAAACTATCTGTTTTTTGAGTTGAGACAGAAAGCAGTACTTGAAGATGACAGTCTGTATTCACAAATATGATTTTTCTGCAAAAGCTTTTATTACAGAGTAACATGATGCAGTGCTTCATGACAATAAGATCCCAACATGCAGATGAAATGAGCTGGCTTCTTCCAGTTTTGTGGGTTCAGAGGCTGTTCTTTCAAAGAAAAAAAAAATCTCAATAGCCTTTGAGCTTGTTTTAAGATGGATGCTTACAGTCTACGTTTAGGCACATATGCTGATGTTTTTTCTTTACACTATTGCACACACACAATACTATTATCAAGGACTACATGAAAAAGACTTGTGTGTCATCTGAAGAATGAAAGAAATTGTTTTCTTGGTGTTGACAAATAGCACAAAACACACAGGGAAAAGCTTGCTTTTAAGACAGATCAGGGAAAGCACTGGTGGAAGGGAAGTTTTTGGAACGGCTTGAGACAGGACTTCTGAACAAAATGACATGTGCTGTAGCTGTATACAGTGTCTTAGCTCCAGACATAGCTTTGCTATGCTTGTTAACCCATCCTTCAAGTAAGCCACCTTTTATTCCCACTCCTTGGGACACCTCTTAAGTAGCCACCAACAATTTGGTCTTGAGATAGGGAATACATTGTTTAGAAAAGAAGGATCTTGAAAATATGAAAAACATACAGCTTTTAACAATCATGTTGTTACATTTAAGACATGTACTGAATCTAAAAAAAAGAATGTTAGAAATTTCTCTGTATGACTCCAAGCACAAAACATGCCATAATTCTCCACACCTTTTCCCCAATAAGAAAGAATGGCATATAAATAAGTATAAAATAACATAAACTTTTGAAGCACACGTGGGGTCCTGTGAGTACCTGTTTGTCTCATTCATCTTAATGGGAGCTGCACGAGTACAATGGAGGAGACAAAACCTTGGCCTAGGTACCATATATTTGGATCAGCTGAGATAGATGGAAAGAACTGAATGTTTCTATGTAAAAACCTGGACACATTTCCTATCCTACTTCTGTGTAGTTCAACTACATTGTTTTGAAAGTACTCATTACTGCTCAAAAAGCCTTGATTTATTTACAAAATACAAATCAAATGGCATTTCCTGGCATTTAAATGATATCAGGACACCAAACCCATTAAGGTAATATAACAAATAAAGTTCATGGCTACTGGACTGGTATTATAATACTTTGTTCCTTGAGACTTACCAGCTACTCTGCTTGCTGCGTCCCACCCAGGAACTGGCTCTGCTGTTCGTGAATAGAGGGTTGGGAGTTCAGGGATCTGGGAGTAAATGTAATTTACTGCATCTGGTGTCAGAGAACAGGAAACAGTTAGATTTGTGCTATGAGCCCCAGTGGCTTCATTGCTTAGACAGCAGTGTTGTTGGCCCTGACAATAGTCACTGGAGCTTTGTACTAGATAATTGGATCAAAGCAAACAAAGTGCAAAATCACTGTCGTGTGATTGGTGTTCAATAGACTAGCTGAGGCAGGAGGGAATGGGTCCAGATGACTCAAACCTTATGTCAATTGAACACATAAAATTATTTGCCAGGAGGTTCTGGATTTATCAAGTCCACGACCTTTAAAATGGGAGCAAGAGTGGAGGAAGTTAAGAAGCAAACCTAATGTCATACCCAGAATACATGACGTTTCAAATACATATAAAAGCCTAAAAATGGTAGTGTTGACTGAATTGGGTGAAAGTCCACTTTGCACTGGCTTTTTGTTCTTAAAGCTGAAATCTTGTTAATAATGAAATTAATTGCATATAGATATTGACAGGCTGCCCATTATGATCTTCAGTAGGTATTAAGTACCTGCCAGTGCTGTAGTGCCATTATTCATTCATAAAACATGGACTAGTAGAAAGCTATCTTAAAGGACTGACTCGTTTTACACTTGAGTGTATGGTTGTTTTGAGTAAGCCAAATATGTTCTTTAGAAGTGGGGTTAAATAAATATACAAATATTTACCAGGAGATGTTTTGTGGCTGGGTTAATTACAACTATATAGTGTATACTGTTATGCTAGGATTCAGTGGCTGAACTGAAAGAAAATCTCAGAGGAGAGATGTGCTAATAACTGACTTAATGTTTAGGCACCAAACCAAAATGAAAAAGAAAAACAAAAAATCACAGCATTTCCCATCAACTGGAAGTGTTTTCATTTTTGTATGGAAAAGGTTTAATTTCTATTCAAACATAAGATCCTATCTGGTGTGAAACAGAGCATCTTTTTTTCCTCCAAGGGTATTTTGCTGCTACAATGTATAATTTAAGCTGTTGAGCCCTTTGTGCAGCCTAGTGCATGTGTCAAGGTAGGAGGCAGAATCTGGCTTCCTTGGTGCCTTTTGTTGTAAGCAGCTGAGATTAGAAGATCAGTACAGACCATAAAAGTGAACTGGTAAAAGGAGAGAGAAAATGAAATGTCCTGCTGTAGGCTGCTTGGCTGCATCTGGTGAGGGGAGATACTTTCATCACATTCCCTATAGCTAACACCCATATATATCATGTTTCAGTGGACAAATGGCAGTCTTGGGCTTTTATATTTTCAATGCATACTGTTTCCTCAAAAATTTCTATTTGTAACAGTGGAGCCTAGGAGAAATAATTGTTTAGGACACAGCTGACTTGAGGAACAGCCAGCAATAGCTTTTCTCTTCTGCGGAGTTTCTTGCATCTGATGAGAAACTGGTACAATGCTTGATGTTGTTACTCTGGGAAATATCATCAGCAAATGAGCGGACCGTTACTGAAAACTGAAGCAATTTCTCAGAAGAAAGAAGTAGGAACTGTGTTTCTAGGCCAGAATAAGAAGGCACTTTGTATTCTGAAAACAGCAGAAATTTAGTGATTATTCATCCCATGGAGCGTACTGCTGAAACACTAGTTTCAGTACATGCTCATCCAGCAGCTTGAGTGACAAACCTATCTGTCTACATGTGGCTGTAATCAATGCAGACTTGTGCTTCTTAACTAATCATCCTTACTTCTTTTGAAGTCAATGAGAATAAACAGGCATGTTTAGGGTACAGTTCTCATCCTGCGGCTCTGAGGAGGCAAACCCTCGAAAATGTTTGTTTTTTGCCAGTGCCTGTATGGGGAACTGAGCTGACCAGCCTGGACACCAGCACTGCTGATGTCTAGCACTATGCAAAATCCATTGCACAGTTTGATGGTGAAACTCTCATTTTAACGATGTACGTGTTTGTGGACCTTAGAACGTTTTTGATTTTTTTTTTTTCTCCTCCTGTGTTAGGAGACAATACTTTGGTGTTAGTTGTTGTTAATACTGACTCAGTTTAGAAACTTCTCTTGATGTTAGTTAGAGTAAAATATTAAAAAATCAGCTTCAGGGCTCCTGACAGCCTCTAATTATTGTCCTGAGAAGGAAACACCCTGTTGGGGGAGACGGGTTTGGGGGGTAAGCATGGGATTCTCATGTACTTTCTTCTTCTGGCATGTGTCAAAAATGGGTTATTTGAGTAGAAGAAGTTGGGGCTTGGTTGATTCTGCCAGTTCTTTTCTTGCCCTCCCTCCCCCTAAGAAAGTGAACATGCTCATTGCCCTTTTTCTCACTGGCAACAACGTCTGTTTCATTTAGCACCTTTAAAAAGGATATGAGAGATCCATTTTATAAGGAGTGGGTGAAATGCAAATTAGCAATTTGTTCTCATGAGAAGTGAGGCAGAACATAAAGCATTTGAACTGACTGCATTAAATATCTTCATTTCAACCTTCAATGAGTTATTAATATCTAAGGATGACATAAAACATGTTCTGTGGCTTTTTGTGCTATTTACAACAAACTGTTTTAGGACTATGGCACTCTTCCATATTGTCAGCGAAGTGCTTAGGAAAACATATGGGGTAAGATAATGCTTCAAGGGTGCTTACACAAAACTAAACCTTCAGAACTGCTCAGAATAAATCCCACACAGAGGCTTGTGGCCAAATGTCAGATGAGCTCATTTTCAAAGGGCTGGATTGTCTTTAAAAAGTCTGACTACTACTAAAATTAGTGGTAGGTCCAAGGGCAGGACTGTTCCACATGTAAAACCCTAAGTGTCTTCACAGGGCTACAACAGAGATTATGACCCTCCCACCACGTTTCTGAGACTAGAAGGTTTAAGCAGGAAGCTTTACTAAAAGCTGAATAGCCTGTTTCTGACTTAGTGGATCATGCTCTAAATAACTAACTTGAGGGGTAGAGTTCACAGCTGACCTGTATATCTATAAGCAATAGGGTGGATGAACGCAGCTAACAAAGCAATAAGGAATGCTCCCCAAGCCTTTCCAAAGGCAAGAACCCCAAATTCAGCCACCCCAAGTGCATGTATACCTCCCAGTGAGGATGACAAAGCCAACAAAACCTTACTTTGGGTGATCAAAGAAGTCTTGATCGAACAGAACCTGGTCCTCATGGGTGGCTTCAGTTACCCAGACATTTGTTGGGGAAAAAGAAAAAAAATGGCACACAAGTTGTTCGTTAAGTTCCTGGAATGCTATGAGATCTGCCTCCTGCTACAGATGCTGGATGTGCAAACTAGGAGCAGCACATTGATAGATATACTGCTCTCAAATTGAGAAGACTTTCTTAACAGTGTAAACAGCAATGATAGCCATGGATACGGTGACCACAGCACTGCAGAGTTGAAGATCCTGCTGAGCACACCGAAGACCAGTAGTAGGACAAAGACCCTGAATTTTAGAAGCATCAACTTCAATATGCTCAGAGTCCAGCTGTGAGGGATTCTATGGGAAGCATCTATGGATAGTGAAGGAGCTTGTCAGTGGTGAGAGTTATTCAAGAATATCTGCTGAAACCACAGGAATGGTGCATCCTTTACAAATGGAAAGGAAGAAGGCTGAATGGAAGACTGCCTTGGCTTAAGAATTAGCTTTTAGGTGTAACTAAATGCAAAAAAAAAAGAAGCATACCAACTATGGAAAGAGAGCCAAATAGCCATTGAGGACTACAAGATCCTTGCTAGGGCATGCAGAGATGCAGTCAGGAATGCTAGGTCTCAGCCAAATCTGAAATTGGCCAAAGATGTCAAGTACAGGAAGCAAGGGTTCTTCGGATCTGTGAGCAGTTAGCAGAAGCTCAGGGAAGATAGAGGCCCATTGCTAACACAACAAGAAAATTAGTCACTAACAATGCTGCCAAGGCAGATGTTCTCAATACCTTCTTTGCCCCCGTCATTATTGGCATAGATCCCAAATGATAAGATCAACTAGCTACAATAAATCTACCACTGACCTGCCATTAGTGGGTAAACGGCTGGTCTGTGGCTCTTGTAGAGGCCTCTCCAATGGCTGACGTTGCTGGAAGGAGACTGTCTATACTATTTGAAAGTCATGTAGATAAAGGTGTGTCCCTGATGACTGGAAGAGGGAAAATGTCATACCCATCTATAGGAAGGGAGCAAAAGAGAACCTAAGGTAGTAGAGGCCATTGGTCTTACTTTACCTCATACGAAAGAGATGGATGAGTCCTTCTAGAAACTGTTACAAACTAATGAAGCAGGTGACTGAGATAAGCCAGCACAGGTTTACTAAGGGCAAATCATGACAAACTGATTACCTTCTACAACAGAATAACATCTTCTGTTGACATGGGGAAATCAGTGGATGTTGTTTACCTGGTCTTCAGCAGAGCTTTTGACACTGTTTCTCACAGCCTTTTCCTGGACAAACAGGCAAATCACAGATTGGATAAGTGGTCTATGAGATGGGTAGGAAATTGGCTAACAGGCTGAATTCAAAGGGTGATGATCAATGTTTTTTACTCAGGTGGCCAGAGGTGGTGTAACTGTGGCAGCCATCAATACAGGCCAAATTAAAGAGTTACTTAAAACACTACAACTGAAAAAAATCACTGATGAATTTTTACAGGGCACATGGAAAACACTCTGCAAAGATCTGTACTTCACTCCTCTGAGGGCATGTTTGTCTGATTTGTTGTTGGGCTGCACAGCTGATCAAGATCAGAGGAGAGAAAATCAGAAGTCTCTAAGCAATATGCTGGGAACTTAACAATCTTTTCAGAGCCACATGTTTGTTAAATATACACTACTACACACCAAATTAAAACAGAGTTTTATGCAAACTACAGAGTTAATGTAATTGTAGCTTTTGTATATTGGCTGAAGTGGCATGTAGTTGCATATAGATGGCCAAAGATTGCAAATGATGAATTTATTCCTGAGGCAAATTCAACAGTAACAGGAGTTACATCAGATTTTAACATGTCTTTGGGTTTATATTTACACTGAGCCATAAACATAGACACATGCAGACCAAGAGCTCTCTCCATTTGTTAATGATGTGCATAAAGCATAAAACTACCAAATGACTAGTTTTGACCTAAGCAGCAACAGATGATGTCATTCCTAGCACCATCTCAGGTCTTGTTTAACAGAGAGCTTATCAGTGACAAAGGCACCAAGGAGCTGGCAGAAGCACAACTACAGGTGAGAGGGCACCAGCCTTCAGCTTCAGCATTTCAGCTCTGCTTTCTCTGTGTGATAATGTATGAAGGCAAAGTGTGTTTGTACCCTGGAAAACATGGGATTGGCGTTTATTGTTCCTGGATGACTGCAAGCTCAGAAGTACGCATTGCCAGACAACTGCTTTCTGGGAAGGGTGAGAAGGACACAGAGAGTCACTTATCAGCCACTGGTGTTCACCACCACTTCTTCCCTTTCCTTGCAGCCTTTGCCTGAACCCCTCAGGGATCTGGAGAACTTGTAGGTGTGCTTTCTGCATACTCAAAAGCTCCGTCATCACTGTATATATGGCACAAAACCAGGCACAGGTATGCAATGTGGAGATAAATCATGTTCCGTGGCATCACTGTTTAGAATAAATGGAAGGTTGGACACAAAGCAAATTAACATGAGATTTAGGAACTCAAAGTCTTTTAACAATCTGAAGCAATTGAAGGAATTGCCCAGTAGATTGGGGTTGGTTTGTATCAGTGTTTTACACAGTCTTCCTGTACTATCCAAGGGCTCCTACCACTTTCCTCTGCAGGATGTTACAGACGGCTGCCAGACAGATGGCTGATCTGCTGCAACAAAGCAAGTCCTACATGTTTTTGGAGAAAGGAAAAGTTTATGGTACCAAAGTGTTCGCAGCTAGCTGTGTGTGTGTTTTCTTCCTGCTGTGATCAGCTACCCTCACAGACTGTTGTCAGAGAGCAGAAAACAGAGGACATGCTCAGCTTTCACCATATGAAGATGTACAGTCACATCATGTCCACAGTGGGAGGGCCAACAGGACAGCTTGCAGCCTTGACCATCCCTAGAGGAACAGAGTACAGAATGGCTTAAAGGATGACCCAGGACTGCCTCAGCCCACAAGGAGCAGCTGCCGAGAGAAAGAGACAAGATACTTGAAGCAAATGATCTGAAAGAGAAGAGGTACCAGTTAACTTAGTTATGCCCCGTGCTCCCTCTGCTTGCACATTTATTCTGGAGACACTCTCTTCTCTTTGGCTTAATTTTGCAGTTTTCTGTTACACTCCAGAAATCATGTACTGTCCTTGCTTCTGACTCAGCCTGTGAGGGTGAGATCCACTGAAAGTAGGCAAAATCTGGATAACAGTGAGGCTTTGAACCCAATGAAATACTACATTCCTACAAGAAAATATCTTTGAGGAAACTATTGCTTCCTGTTTTCTAGCTGGGGCTTCCTTTGGTTTCTGTTTTATCACAATGTGCATAAAGAGCAGACCATGTCTTGCAGGAGTCATAAAAGCTCCTGCGCAGTTTGGGAACTAATTCCTCTAGGCACCACTCCTCTTTTGGAAACCTACCAACAACCATGGTGAAACTCTATTTTACAGGTATAAAATATTTGCCATTATGGACCTTCATGTACTTTGTGACAGCCAATTTCAAATGCTCAAGGAGGAAGGAAGAGTAAGTTCTGAACATGGAGCATCTTATCTGAGACATTTTTTTTTTTTGACAATGAGACTTAATGTAAAACTTAGATTATATTGCTAGCAGAAGTGAAAATTTCTGAACTACATCTCTGACTTAAAAAGAAAACCCTTTTTCTGAGTAATATTAATCACTTCAAAAAGACAGCTTCAAGTCAGTTCATATACTACATATTAACATTCAGTTGCATCCAGTTCTTTAATGTTAGGATCATGCTACATGTTCTTCATCTGTACTTCCAATACAGCTGGACATGGCTATGTCAGGAGCTGGAGGAGCTAGGCTTGGCCTCAGTAGTTTGAATCTCGTCAGTTCAAAGACGTGTATGAAAATGAGCATCTGGATTACAGTTTTATCTGCTGATGGATCAGCATGATATCCTTCTTTGGTCCTAAAGGTCCTGGAGAGGCACTACAAGGGTCTCTCTAGCTTCCTGGAAACCAAACATTTCATTTGCTCACTCAGAAACCTAAATTTATAGCTCAGTGTTTACAGTGATCACATATTGTGTGATAGAGTTCATAAACTAGGAATTATTAGGCCCTCATCCACCTCTGCAACATTTTCCTTCTGTAAGAATCATCATGCCAAGAATATTAATCCTTCAGTGAAGTAATCTGATATTAGCAGTCGTTCCTTTATATTAGGAATAGTTCTTATTGTATTTAACTTCCTATTTAAGTCATTAACTCTGCTTATTAACAGAATATGAGTGCATGCAATGGAGAAGATTGACCACAGAGAGGTGAAAGGGGGTCTGCACTGCAGGGCTGTCATGTGGTGAAAGATAACATAGAAGTTTTATTATCTCTGTTTTAAGTCACCTGTGCTGCTTTTTCCCCTTGTATGCACAAAAGAAGAGCTGGAGCTCTGCCAAAGGAATACTATTTCACCATAGTAATAATATTTCTGCTTGCACTATGGTAATACCAAAGAAGAAGGTAATGGCTCTAGCAATGAAACAGGAACATACAATGAAAAGAAGAATCCCCAATCCGTAAGCCTTTGCAACAAAGCTATAATAACAATTCTTGTTAAATCCAAAGCTATACAATAATAAAAAGGCACTTACCACCATCCTGGTGTGAGAAACTCTGTGAAGGGAAAAAGAAGATATTTGATTAAACCTATTATATTTGGGGAATAATTTGCATGAAATTTTGATTTTTATCTAAGCTTGCTTTTATGGTGCTTTGTAATTTTTAAATAGGTAACTGGGGATGTAGCTTCTCAGGTTTAGGTACCACTGGGGGCTGAGGGAGAGGGACGTAGCGTAACTAAAAGGAGAATACTGCTGTTTGCTGCAGGCTGTAATGGTCGGAAGTGGCAAATGCCACTACCTGTGTGCTACTGGGAGCAGGGAAGTTTGATACGCCTTTTTAGGGTCTTGCTGACATGTTCGGTGTGGCCAAAAGCTCACACTCTTTCCCTGCAGATAAGCTAGGGAGATAGTCTCTAAAATTCATTAAAAGCCACTTCAGAAAAAGCCGGAGTGGAAGGGAAAATCCAAATAACCCAACCAAAATACATCTCATGACTCCTAGTGTTTCCTATGAGGTATCTGTGTTTTCTTTCTTTCCTAGTCTTCTATATATCTTCTTCTTCGGTATATCTTCTATATATCTTTCCTAGTCTTGTTCCTCCTGGCCTGAGCTATATGCTCTGCACCTGCTCTCATTCTTCTTGTAAGTGCATGAATTATATACCTGCTGCTTTAAAACAGTGCTAGGAGTCTACCTTGGTTTCAATCTGTGCCCAAGTGTCTTTATTTTTTTTTTTTTTACATACCTTTTGCAAGTTGTCGAAGGATTTCTCAGTCTCCTTCAGTTTCTCCAAAATGATTCGTTCTTTGGCAGATATTTGGGATTCCTCACTTTCTAATTTCTGTATTTCTTGTTCCAGCCTGTGGAAGACATACAGACATGCACATACACACGAAGATAAAACATGTAAAAATTATTTCAATGAGCCATAGTTTCCTGGGCATTAATTAGCATTTCAAATATCATCAGGGACAACTTTCACTCTTGCTATTCACAACTGCATTCCTAATGCATGCAGGGCACATGCTTATTTGCATATTATTTGTAAAACAGACAGTTTTAAACAAAACCAGTAATTCTCTTATTATTCACTTCTGCAAAAGCATGTACAGATTAACTAAAAGTATGCCTTAACGTTGCTTCATCCCAGTTCCCATAACATCCCTCAGATATGCCCTTTGATTTTATAAATCACAATACGGGATATAACCATAAATATGTGGTAATAATTAGAGGAATAGGTGTCTTCTAATGCTTCTGTATTCCAGACAATAAAACTGGAAACAGTTGGCAGTCAACCTGTTGTGTTAGGTGTTTCTCTTGAATCAGTATGTTGCCAGCTCCTCACAATCATTCTCTGGGTTATCCATCCCTGCTTTCTATGATACTGAATGATACAGGGAACCCCAGAGGCTTCAGGTAACAAAATATACAGGATGCTCAGTAAATAAACATCTTTTGCTACGCAGTAAGCATTCAGCATTTTCATTTCTCTAGTTGAGTCCTAATGGCACTTGCTCCTTAAGATGTGTTGATTGTGATTTGAGATACGCTTCAATCAGGATTAGATTCTCCATTACTTTAACTCAAACCTCCTTTTACTGACCTGACTTAAGAAGGTGCAGGAACATTCCCTCCTTCTCTATTTTTATGTATACCATCATCTTTTATTTTCTCACTTTTGGAAAAATACAACCCAAAATCAAAAAACCCAACTGTAATATGAGCTAGGATGAACTCTTTTGAACAAGGATAGTTACTCGAAACTCCCTTTGTCTACAGAAAGAGTTATAGCTGGTCACAGCTTGTTGGACCATATTTCTTCAAACATAACAGATTAACATCACCCAGTACTTTCCTTACCCATGGCTGCTTCCTACTGCCTTGCTGCTACTATTTTTCAAGTGAAGGATCCTGAGGCTCAGGATAAGTCTAAAGTGACATGTTTTTGCTCTTCCCCAGCCCTGCTCAGCACAGGACTTCATTAATACTTGTTCTATGACAATGCAAAGGGCAAGGAGAAGGTGACAGTGAGCAGGTAGGGAATAGGGAGGCAGGGACTGCTCCTTTCAGAGACTTGACAGCTTGAGTTACTTGTGAAATTCATGTATCTAAATATAGATGCTGGAGTCTAACTTAAGGAACCCACCTGGGAAGTTTTTCCCTGCTTTCTAATTGTGCAACGGTGAAGGATGTGTGGCACTTGCTGATAAATCTTTTCATTAGAGAGAGGCAAAAGTGTCACAGCCTCAAGTTGTTGCAGATAGAAAAAGGCGTATTTTGCTCTCCTGAAGTGTGTGAATACTTAACAGTAACAAATCCTTGGTGGCTGTAGAACTGTCATTTTCCTCTCTTAAAGGCAACCCCCTCATTTCCAAATTAAAATGGCTTGATTGCTGTGATTTTAGAATCACACAGTTGGAAAGTACCGCTCCAAGCCGTGATTTGTTTTGATGTTTTCTCAGAACTAATAGAAAAACTTCAAAAATGCAGAATATTTTGGGACAATATATCTTGCATAAATGGAACAACTTAATACAGGATGAATTTCCCCTCTCATGTTGTGATTCAGGGAGAAAGCTGACAAAGAATACTGTTTCTTCTTGACTTTTCTTCCAGGATTTTTTTTTTCCTTTCTTTTTTTTTTTTTTTAATACCTAGTGAATTGAAAAATCACTTGACACTGCAGTCAGGCATTGCCATGCTCGTACTTCATGAATTTAGAAGTCAACAGAAAGGTGGCTTTTTTTCCCTTCCCTATGCTTAGGAACAATTAGTAGATATACATGCATTTATGTCTTGTTGATAAGGATATTTGAAGTATTCTACTGTGCATTCTGGTGAAATTACATTGTGGAGCTGGGTGAGTTGGGGTTTACTGATATGTTTCTTTTCTTCCCAAGTGAATCACTAAGCAGCATTTTCAGGGTACATACACTGTAGCCTGGTACATTTTGTTCTCAATGGTATCTTGAAAAGGCTGGAAAATGGGAATTCACAGAACTTAAGTGACAGCAAAATACAGGGGAAAAAGGAAGTCCCTTTTTTTGAAATGAATTGGACATTAGTTATTTTTGTCATTTCAAAAACTGAATATAGGTGGTGTGAAGCAACTAATTTGATGTGAGTAAGGTAATAAGCAAATAGACTCCTTGTAATTTGGGGTAATCAAAAGTGCACAATTTTTTGTGCACCAGCTCAAAACTGTAGGTTTGCCATGAACTTTTGTGTCTTCCAGAGAAAGTCTGCTTCTAATGCACGCATATATACACCTGCACATACACACCTTGCAATTCATCTGATTTATACTTTCTTACTTTCTGGCTACTTGCTCCGTTGCTTTAACTTGTTTATGTCTCTTTCGTGCTCCCTTCCTGATTCACTTCCTCCGTTTCTGTTTCCTTTGTGCCAGCCTACCCTCACCATCAAAACAAGCTGGGCAGATGGAGCTTTAGGTGACACTATTTCAACAAGACATCTTGGTAGGTTTTTGTCCCTTCCCCCCCAACCCAACCCAAATCCCTTCTTCAGTGCCTTTTAGAAGTGGGATTAACAATTTACTAATAAGGAAAGGGATAGAGACAGAGTTGCCAGGATTTAAAGACGTGTGAAGTTGGTAGGGATAAGGATTTCCTATGTGACCCTGCATAACAATGCATACATACTCATCCCATAGGTGTAAATTTCCCTTTTTTCCACTGCAATCAGTGCAGATACAGAGTCTCCTAGGCCTTCCTTGTATAGAATGGGTCTGAATTCGTAATCATGGCAGGAAAAAATACTATCATTCAGACAGAAGGTACCTGTTACATAGCACAGGAGTCATATACCAATCATTAATAACAGCAGGAAGTTGCTTCATACCTTTTAGGTCCATTTCATGTCACTTTTGTCTATACTCTTTAGGCTTAAATGCTGAGATAATTCTGCTGAGTCACTGAGGAAACAGAAATACTCAAGGGCACAGTTTCCATGTGAGCTATTGCATACATTCCTCAGTAAAACACCTGGCACCACAGACCTCACTGGAAAATCCAGTCCTAGAGTCTTCACCACTTCCTTTGAACTGCCTTTTAACATAGGGACCAGCAGTATATTAATTAAAATCCTAATGCAAACTGAACGTTGTTTTGCATTCTTTATTTTTTTAGTGAGCTTCATATTATCAGAGCTGCTAAAGGATAAGATCTGCATGTTTTTTTTTGTTGTTGGTTTTTTTTTTAACAAGATACAACAGAGGCATGCAAATTTGCTTTGAATAAAAGAAGTTCACTAATATCACATCTGTTTTGAGTGCCATGCTACATGATGATTTAAACAGTAATAAACTCATTAAGAGTGCACATGTACATGTACATACATATACAAAGTGCCTACACTGTTCCTGTGTAACCCTGTTAAATACTGAAGAATGTCTTTTTCTTCTAGCACAGTTTAAAAAGGATGTGCCTTAATTGTCATTTGACACCTGGCAAGGAAACCTTGTAATTCACTGGTTCCTGCCTCCTTAGCAGATTTCAGGCTGGTTTGAAAGACAGATACAACAACAGAGCCAGTTAAATAAGCAACTACAATATCTGGAGTGCTGTAGGGAAAAAAGAAGAATGAAAACAGAGATCCAGATGAAGCAGAAATGGTGTAAAGCAGACCAGTAGTATTGTTGCTTATTAGCCCAAGCTGTTATCTGATCACTGGGATTTGCTAAATTGTTTATATAAGGAGAAAAAGTGGGTCATGGAGTCTGGAGCTGCTTTGGCACAGGCATGTTTTTTTCAGTGGATGGATACAGAACCGTATTTCCCCAAATGTCACAGGAACAAAGAAGGCAGATTTCACCACGCTGAAAGCCAAGCCCGCCTTGCTGCTAGTCTGTCTGCCCTGCAGTTTTCTTTAATGGCTGGATGCCATAAGCACCTGATTTTTAGGGCATAAGACTTTTAGAGAGCTGAGAAGAGCTGCCCATATAAGCCAGGTAACCCTCATGGTCATGCTAACAGTTCTGTCCTACTATGAAGGAGAAGAAAGCATGAATGGCAGAAGGGATGCTGTCTTTTTGGAGAGTACTTTGCTGTCAGCAGGGGCATCCTGATCCCTTGGTTATTGAGATTACAGACTCGTAGGATAATTCAGGATGGAAGTGATCTTGGGAGGTCTCTAGCCCAGCCTGCTGCTCAAAACAGGCTCAGCCATGAGATTAGACCAGGATGCTCATGGCTTCTTCCAGCTGGGGTTTGGAATTCTGCAATGATGGGTGAAGGGGGAAGGTGGGGGAAGTTATGGAATATTTAAGGCTACTCACAAGATTTCTGTTTTACAGTCTGTAGCTATCAGACATCAGGTACCACAAAACTCAGACCAGAACAGTTCAATAATACCGGGGAAGGGTATGCACCAGCTTCCTATGGGAAGCCTGGTCTGTATATTTGGTGGGATTTTGACATAATTAGGTTGCCACATGAGTGTAGGCAAAGCAGGCAGAGCAGTTTCTGAGAGGACTGGGGGCGGAAGCAGCAAATGAACCCTCCTCCAGAGATGTTTGGATCAAGAACCAAAGGAGCTGTCAGACGGCACAGAAGGCTTCAGTTTAGGTGATGAAAAGTGGAGGTAAGAAGGGAGATCTAAGAGGTGAAGAGGCATAAGGACAGGTTTGATAATTTGGTATGTGTACATGTGCAGTTATGCTGAGCATTCAGTATCCAAGAAACATTACATTTGGATATAGGGCTCTGTTTCGTACTCCAGACTGAACTTGATGAATGAACTTTCTCTAGGTGAAGGATTTCCTCTGTTTCTATGTTAAGACATTGAAACCCACAGACCTGGGCTGCCACTTTCCTCCTGGCTGAAAGGCAGAGGTTGT